GAATTGTTGGGAGCCTGAAATGGAGAAGATGAGGAAGCTTCGGGGGGAACCCGGTGTGGAGGCTCCGAAGCTCAAGTTAGAATCCTTCAAAGGCAAGATAAAACCAGATAGCGCAAAGTTTGCATACCTTGTTCTTAGGGGTAGGGAGCCTTTTATAGCCACCTCGTGCACTCACTCCTAAGCATCTGTCAGGTCGGGTACGATCACCTCTGGTCTCCTGCCAGTTCGGGTGTCATCCCCTCTGCTGATCAGAACCGCCACTGCTCCCTTTTGTCGGAGCCTTTTATGCGACTGGTGATGATGGTGGCAGGTGGCGGTGGTAGGTGACCGTTGAAGTGCGGTTGTCAAGCGTCAAATCCCAAGTCAGTCAAATGCACTGCCCTTGTGTACGGACCTCCTTGGTGTCAGGTATGGTACGTTTGTTCAATTTGGCGTCTCGGAGGCGAAGTGCTGGAGTGGCGAACGAGGTGAAGTATTGAGTTCGGATAGGGGAGTGTCCCGAACTGCCATGAGGCGGGCCACTTCGGGTCACTGCCTTGTGTGGCTCGGGGCCTAAGGGAGAGTTCAGGCTCCTCCTAGGGAGGTTGGTCTCCTTGTAGGGAATTCGAGCTCTTAGTAGGGAGGTCGGGCTCCTCGTAGGGAGTTTAGGCTCCTCGAAGGGAGTTCGGACTACTGGTTTCTTCCCTTTGGTGCTTGCACCCTGGGTGCGCTGTTTTAAATGCCGAACTATTTGCTTTTGCCACGTGGAGTGATTGCGAGGTTGGGCCAAATCTTTCTTCCTTAGAAGTTAAAGCTTATAAATGATAAAATAATATATAATATCTGATAGAATGTGTAAATATCTATAAAATTGAAATTTATAATCAATAAATTTTGAATTTTAAATATTAAACAAATAGTAATCAAAATGCAAAGTTCTCAAGTTATTTAAAGGGCCAATTTACAAATGGTGAAGATCAAAATCTCGACTGTTTTGGTAATGACGACCTAAAACTTGGGTGCGGACTCTAGTACCAAAAACTGCAAATAAAGCAAGTTAGAAGGCCTAGGTGGATGTATAGGGCTATAGACTCCGATAGTTAAGTCAGTAGATATTTTAGCATTGCCAGGTGGCTCCACGTTTACATAAGTATACGGGTTGACCCTTTCATATTGACGGAAACAAGGGGGAGATCGCCCCTATAGGTCAAAGGTCCATTGAGGTCGGAAAACATCTCTCAAGTTGGAGTTAGCTCGGGTCAGAATTACATTCCTCGATCAGTTATAGTTTGGAGGTTGGGCGTTACGGGTCGAACTGCTGTTTAAGCACAGTCCCACCATGTGTGATGATAAGGTGGTACAAAGTGTTCACATCACCACGTGTCGAAATGTAATTAGAGGGGGGGATTGTCCCTCATATCAATAATAAAGGAAACAACTTTATTGATTTGATATATAACAAAAATCAATAAAAATAAAATAAATTAATTAGAAAAATAACAAACTTAGAATGTTAAGTTTAGAATAATAAGATAACCTAATTAGCTCTTTTTTGTATTCAACCATCCTACAACACTAAGACTTAATTTTGAAGGAGTATAAATACAAATACTTAGAGTGCAAAATCTTATATTTTGTATTTGTACTCTGCACATTTGATTTGTCCCTACATATTTGTATTTGTATGTATTTGCACCCTATATATTTGTATCTGTACTCTTTCAAAAATGAGCCTACGAAAAATAATTTGATTTGTCCTTTTGATTTTTATTCTTCTCTCTTTTATGTGGCCAATAATTATTGGAATGATTCTTCCATATGTTTTGAATTATAAAAATGTATATTTTTATATTAAATCATTAGATAACCATTCATATTTAAGTCTTACATCAAAGTTCAAGGCTTAAACCTTGAGGCAAAATCTTTGCACATTGCTTCAAGGTGTACATCTCAGGTTTAAGCCTTACAAAACAATTAATGATGGCAAACACATTGAGTAAGCACTTGGAAACTCTTTTTTTTGTTCACACGGTTACACCTATACCCTCCCCCCAACCCAACCTACCTTGATGCAATTGTGGGAATATTTATTGAGTTCTCATTCATTGTGCTTTGAATGATGTGCCTATGTGATCTGGAAGTAGGTGGGTTCATATCTACTAATATAGTGTTTTTCCCTCCAATGTTTTTTAATTCGAGCTATTGATAAAGGTATTTTTTTAAATGATTTATCACCCTTGTTCACAGAATCCCACTCATCAAGTGATTTATGTTGTTTAGGGTTTACAATGAAGAATAATATGATGCATTAAGAAAAGTCTAAACACAAAATGAAAGCATGGAATCCAGCCGCATGTTAGGATTTGGGAACAGCTCCCCATGAATGAATTTGGAAACATTATGATTTTCTCCTAAACCCTAATAAATACAAACATACCATTAGAATCACTTAACAAGAACCTTGCATTGTTCTTCGTCAGAATTTGTTGCCATTATCTCACTGACAAAAACTGTTCGTATGTCGTGATTGGATGCAAAAGAATCTTTGTCAATACCAAAAAGTCATTCACATCACTAGTGAAGAACCCATGTACACATGTTCCGCTTCCGCACTAACTACTTTAATCAGACGAGAACCAACAATTTTAGGAATTGTTGGGTTTTTAAAGTGTAAGTGAAAGGGTATTTTAATCATACGAAAACCAATATTTTTAAGAATTGTTGTGTTTTCAAAGTGTAAGTGAAAGGGTATTTTAATCATACGATAACCAATATTTTTAGGAATTGTTGGGTTTTTAAAGTGTAAGTGAAAGGGTATGATTGTCCGAACAAATAAAAAAAGTGCAATTTTGATATTTAATCAGGTCAGCGACTGGTTCAAAGGGTAATTCGGCCTTAAACCGACTCCTCTGAACTAGTTTAAAAAAATAAGTAAAACCTAAAAAAAGTTACTGATACAGCCCAATACAGTCGTATCAATATTTTGAACCTTGCACAGAATACTAACAAATATTTATTGCAACATAAAAATTCAAGGGGTCTTTGTCGCAAATAATAGTTCAAGTGAGTATTTATCAATGACCCCATAATACAGGGGATCTTTGTAACAATTTACTTTTTTTTTTAACCATACCATACAGGGCAGACACCTTAAAATTTTATAATAAAAAAAAAAAAACAGAGAAACCAAGAAATACAGGGGAGGACACCAGTAAGCAGCCACCTTCCATGTAACGATGTAACGATGTAACGATGTAACGATGTAACGATGTAACGATGTATGAGAGTGCCAACTGACTCAATTGGTAATGTCTCTGGTCGGGTGTAGCGAAGACTTTAGGGGGGGGTGGATTATACATCAGGCCTAATATTTTGTATTATATAATATATAAAGTTAATTTTATACACAATATTATTTACTATTTTATACATAAAATTCATAGGCCTGGAATCATGCGGGCGGGGGCCAAGCCTGGCTTACAGTCCTTTATCCCAGCCCGGCATCTCTCTCTCTCTAGGATGCACGTGTCAAGGCTACCTCCAATAATCACAATGAGATGCTTTGGTATTCACTAATTACAAAACCCAACTTTTATTGGGTAGGCCTTGGAATCTTATACGAGACAAAATTGTATTGGGTTCTCAACAGGACTCAAGTATTCAAGCGAGATTCCAATGTAAGATGTCACTCCAATATTTTTCTACATACAAAAAATTGGGGCAGGGACTATCCTCGATTCCAGCACTTAAAACACACAAATTTCACGTTTCTCCTGCAAAAGCATCTCCTCACTGCATGTACAAATCACAGGGGTTCTATTTGCACTAGATGCAGAAAGCCCGGAAGCTTTACAGTGACAATCAATCTCATGCCAAAGGCCGAGTGGGGGAAAAAGCGGTCATCTCAGAATTCGATTTGCACAGATATAAAGAATCAAAAATCAGGATTATGAACAACTCAGCAAACAAGAATGAATAAGCAAAAACCCAGTAAACACCCTCCAACATAGTGGTGCTCCCACTTTTTTCCATGCATGGATCATATCATGGTTGGGGATACAAGGATCGCCTTCCGAAACAACGACGCTACTCGAGGAGTCTTGTAGATTGAACAGACAATAACCTTCTTGCTGGAGCTGGAGGTGCCAACCCAGGGATGTCCCTGATGCTTTTGTTGTTTGGGTTTACAATCTAAAATAAAGCAAAGCAGCATGATGCCAAAATCAGTGTTCAGAAATTGATTAAGCATCTGTGTGTATGCATAGAATGCGCTCATTCATGTAAAATATTATGCAGTTGAAATGGTAAAACAGTTTTTCAAGTAAATAATTACAATGACTTCATTTCCTGAAATGAATTTAAAGTGCCTTAGGCTAGTACTGCCATAATTTGGACAGACCCACTCCCACAGTCCCACTGGCATTCCCTTTTTCGGTTATTACAATAAGATGCATGAAGTTCAACCTTAAAGAATGCTATAGAAAAAATTCAAACAAGGACCATTATTCATTCAGCATCCCCAGGCACCCATCCAGGAGCATATTCTGAAGTTTCTGACTCTCTAACTTAAAAAAATACGTTGTAATGTAAAAAGAAATCCTAATATGGTCTGAAAATTCAATAATTGTTCGTTTGTTACTTCGTATTATGTTTCATCCTTTTTTTTATTGATTTATGCTTTTAAAACATGAACATTATCCTAGATTTTACACCCTTCAACTTTCAGCGCTATCCAATAAGAAATCCTTTGAGAAAGATGCTCCTAAACACAAACAAAGCACAAAACAATGCATATCATGCAACATAGTTTTGTCATCTTTTCTACAAGCAAATAAGGGTAACCAATGGGTGGATTGGGACAAAGTACCTTTACGATGATGATAGCTATAACTCCACAGACAATGATAAATAGAAAAAACATAATGCACCTGTCAGTAGCCACCTGAAAAGAAGGATCTTGTAGTTAAGAGCTGGAAATCATTCCCTAAGATAAAATGTCAGATGCAGGATACATGCAAGTGGACAACCAACCTGCCTACCAATCTCCTTCACTAGCTTGGAAGCTTTCTTGATTGAAAATTGAATTGTATCTAGGTCATTTACAATGCGGCCCATTTGTTCAGTCTGCAAAGAAGCCATTAAAAATCCTGAATCAAGGATGCTGGAGAGAGGAATTCTACCACTTTCTGACATGATTTGTTTTATGCAGAGATAGCAGGTAATTAGCCTACTTACTTGGCCCTTCAAAGTCACTGCAGTCTGAGTTCCCACTTCAACCGTTTTCTCTACAACCTGAGCCATCCTTCTTCGGGTAAGGACAGTGTTCATAAAGAAAGTCAGGATAATACATACAGCAATATAAAATTATCAATTAGTCACCTGTTTTGATCGTTCAATAGCCTGATCAGTCTCATCCATTGTCTTCCTCCCAGCATTAATAAGCTCTTGATTGGACATTGCTACAGGATAAAACAGGTCAACAACCAACCGTACATGGCTCGATCACATAGTTGAAAAAAAAAAGACAGATAGGATGTCGGCAGAAAATCAAATACATAGAAAGAGGCATTGTTTTCTTGAAGGAATGACAGAAAATTATCCTCCCTTTGTTTTTTTTGATAAATAAAGTATCCTCCCTTTGTTGTCATAGCAAAAGCCACATGCAGGGTCGGTTCAGGAGAACAACACATTTATTTCATATGTTATTCATTAACTACAGATTGAATTTGTCAAGTCATAGTTTTCAAGGCGCCTAGACGATGCTCGGTGACACTGGGGTGCCTAGTCACCTTATAATATAAAAATCTAACTTGTGGCTAGTTCCCTATTTTTATATACCATTCAGCATGTATATTAATTGAAAAAAAGCAATTCTCTTTATTAAGAACATTAAATTTCCTCTAAAAAAGTGGCAAATCATCACATCTAAAAGATAAAAACCTTTTACATATATTAATTTAATTATTTTAAAAAATAATACTGCTATAATAAGGACTTAATAGAGAATTTCATATCAATTGGTAGCTAAAGAAGGTCAACTTTATATGATAAATATTCAAGATGGAAAGTAAAATAGAAAAAACAAGGATGGAGTTTCTGTTTTATTTAATTAAAGAGAGAGAATAAGGAAAAAAAAAAACAGAACCTCTTTGATCTTTTAAATTTCAATAGTAAAACATTAAAACGAAGTATATTGATATATATAGCATATAATAAAATGTATTAACACATACATTAATAAGATACAGCAATACAAATGATATTATAAAAGATGCCTGCTTTGTCATTTTTGTCACCTAGGCGGGCGCTTAGTCGCCTGGTTGCTAAAAATCAAGGCGTTTGTGCGAGGCGCCCAGCCAAGGGTGCCTAGTCACCTAGGCGATGCCTTGACAACTATGTGTCAAGTCATAGAAATCTGCGTAGAAAACCCACAAAATGCAGAGAGAGAGAGAGAGATCAGATCTCACATGATGCCATTTGAACATTGTCCTCAGCTGCAGGGTCACTACCTCCTGGCCCCATATCAAAGAGTTCAACTCTTTTATTACCAAGGCTACTCATATACCTGCAGTGCCACTAAATTGAATAAGAATTCTTTAATAAACAAAATACTAGAGGATGGGTTCTAAGGCTAGGTAATTATGGTTTATTGAAGCAGCACATAAAATCAAAATCTCGTACAACCATTGTGGAGATAAGACAAAGCTTCGATTCATAAAAAAAAAAGGGATAAAACAAATTTTCTCTGATCTCTTCCTATTAGAAATTATATGAAAGAATATAGAATTTATAAAAGCATGCAGGCATGCTGAGGCTGGTACCTTCCTTTTGAGGGGAAAAGTAACAATGGCTAGTTATAGGGGAATCATGGAATCCATGACAGGACAAAAAGATCACTGATTTTCACAACACAAAGGCTGTACAGAGCTAGAAACTTTGTTGCCATGGTTTTCAGATAGGGAGTTGTGTCTCAGCATTTATAAATTCTATACAACATTTTTATGTTTACAGGAGTGAAATGTGAAACTTACGTTTTCCTCAAGGCAACATATGAATTTAGTTCTTTGATCTGCAATAACATAGTATATTGCATTAATTGCAGATACGAGAAGAAACAATATTCAAGTTTGCATGGAAAATGTGTTTAAGAATGAATTTCTATGTCTATGTACAAGAGGCCATACAGAAGGAAATATGAAGTACTAACCAGGGATTGTTTTCTCTCATTGAGTTGCTTATTTATCTCTGGAGAATTCCCACTCTCCTCATCTTTAAGTTCACGATCAAACTCTTTGATCAACCTGAAACCAATGAACACCATAGATCAGTTGATAGTGTACTACATATTCCGCAAAATGCAATCAAGCATGATAGGAAAAAAAGGAACCCCAGTGTCCCAAGTTTGCACATATTTGTTAGGCAGATATTAGTTATAATTTCACTCTTCAACTTTTTATATTAGCAAATGCTAATTTGTCATTGATTCAAACTTTAAATTTGCACCTATAGTAAACTGTATAGTTATTCAAACTTCTAACAGGTGCAGAACAATAAGAGAATAGAAAAAGAAGCATAGAATAATATGGAGTTGATAAAACTCACCGTTTACACTCCCTCATCTTTCCTGTGAGTTCTTCCAACTGTTTACTTTGCCGATTGGGGTCTTTGATCTTATCCAGCTTCTGAAAGCCATTTCTGCATGGAAATGAAGATAAAACATTACTATTGTCATCATAATTTTTTTTTTTTTGCAATTTATCTCATTTAATGTTATGGAATAACCGAATAAGATACAAAGCTTGTAATTAAAGAATGGAGATCTCACCATTTAAAGGCCCAGAACAGGATTATGGACAAAAGATATATCATTGCATGCCAGTAAAAAGAAGTTAAGAGCATGAATAATATTTTCATTGCCTATAAGAAAAATGCACATCTAATGTCTTCTTCTCGGCTTTCATGATTGTTATCTAATATGTCTGGTTTATGTTCCCAATGAAAGGGGATTTACTGCCAACCATGCATGTGAGGTATGCACGGTAAAGGCATCCTTGTCCTCTTACACCATTTTTGTATGGTGATCACTGGAAAAGAGATGTTTAAAAATCAAAATCTTCCCCGCCTCAACCCCCCCACCCAAAACACACACACACACACACAAAAAAAAAAAAGAGCCACTAACTCGGAATAATATATGGACTTCAGATAAATCTGGCTAGTATACAACTCTCATCACTTAACAGTGGCAATTGACAAAGCATGGGATTTGACAATGGATGTGCCTCTACTCTAGAGTTCAACTCCAAATTCTTCTATACTCCCTTAAGGGATATGAAGATTCAATCTCCCAATAATTCACATCAAGGAACCCAAACCATTTTTATTAACTGTTACTGAGTAACTTATAGAAGGCAGGAAACAATAGCCTCAATATTTGGTTGCCGTACCAAACATCATACCAATTGATCTGAGAATTTCTGAATATCTCTCCAAATGCAGGATGGCTTTTAGTCAGTGTTTCGATTTCTCACCCTCAAGATTTTACTTTCACAATTACATAACTTGCACATCACAATATCTCCATACGCTAAGAGAACCTTAACACGCCACCACATTTCAATGGAATTTCCTCTCCACAAACTCCAAACGGTGCTTTAATATACCGTACATGCAATTCATTCATCAATTTAAACAACAATAACGACTAATTGGAGTTTACCTCAAGCCCTATGCCCCTACAAACGCCAATTGTACTTTAAATGCCAATAAGACCACAAGGTTTAATTAAAGAAACCTATCTTATTGTTAGCATCTAAGATCATCGTCAACGTTAAAATTTTTTCCACGACTAGGGTTGCAACATGCTCTAGTTATGCTGCTTGTAAAGAACCAGCATTTAAACCCTTAAATCGAAGCAAAGTCGTACAAAATTCGTCACTACAGTTACAGACCAAGGCTTCAGCCAACAAAGTACCAAGGCATTTGAATGACCAGAGTCATAGCCACATAGATCATCAAATCAGAAAGGAAGCGCATAGTTAAACTCGATTAAAACGAACAGAAAAGGGAATGAATGAAAAGCTAACAAAATACAAAACAAATCGAATCGCAATATCATCTTACGCGAGAGCACGAAAATTGTCATGAATCTCGCCATCGATCTGCTCCAGCTGAGGGCTCATCTGTAACTCTGACGCCATTGTTTCCGGAACTCCAATATGGACGACTAAAAGCAAATAATTACCCGAAATTTCAACCTCAGATCATCATTGGTTTGAGAGAAAACAAGAATTAACTTGGAATTAAGATTTGAACTCCATTAGGCGACTTCAAAAGAAATACGAACAAGAAATCGAAGTCCGAAGTCAAACCCTAACCCTAGAAAATAAAGCAGAAGAGATGGAAAGAAGAAGTGAGGATTTTTGAGGGAATAACTGGGGAGTTTAGTGGAATATCAGATACTTTTGCGGGTCCTGATTCCTGACTCCTGACTCCTGACTCCTGAGGAAAGAAACCCGTTGAAGCAAGGATGATAAAGAAAGAAGGGGACTAGGGGAGAGAAGAGCCAGATGGCCGCTGGTAACAAGCCTGTGACAACTACGACCAACAACTATTTGTCCGAGAATTTGAAGAATCCTTTAATTATTATCTCTTTTTTTTTAATTTCTCGATAATATTTTATTCATGGACTTCTCCTCTCAGTTCTCACAAGTGCCGTCCGCTCTCTAAAATGAGCCGGCTTGCTAAAAACACTCACTACTGTCACCGAACTGAACGAAGGAAGGAGATTCTATATATCGCGAGAATTAGAAAGTAGAAACAGTTACTACTTAATAATAGCGCTTAAATAGTTTCATTTCATTTTATGAGCAACGCCAGCCACACGAGTCTGTCGAACCCGTACTTGCAAGCGGATCCCTTGAATACCGTGCATCGTATAGGGTTCTGTGTTAACATGTACTGTGCTACTGGCCGTACCAGATTTACGATGTGGAAGTAGAAGAAACTCTCGTGTAAATCAGTACTTGACCATTTCGTATGGCTAGCATTGTTTTATGGAGTAGGTTGAACGATAATATATGGTTATGTTGAGTTTATATTCTGTGAACCGTGAACCCACCAATCCGCATTGAACACGTCACCAGTAATGGCTTAACAGACAGGCTAAAGGAGTTATCCTGTTAAGGGCCGTTTCATTGATTGGACCAAGCACTAAAAGACAAAAAAACTCGCGAAAATCCTCAACAACACCAGATCACCGACATTTGACGAAGTTATTCCGGCAAAAAACGAATAAGCAGTCGGGAGCAGCAACATTCATTTGTTAAACTTTCATGTCCAGTGGCCAGTGGCCTAGTGGGAACAAAAAATCAGACACTCTAATGCTAGAGCTGGTTTCATTCAGTATATGTGCTTTTCTCAACTTGATTAGGAGACTAATGATGCTGATTTTAAGCTTTAGTCGTTTCAGAGTAGAGGTTCCTTTCGATTTGTAGCTTCAGTTGTTTGAGAGAGGAAGGAGGTAGGGTACCTCTAGGTTTGGAATCATTCAAAAATAATAATTATAAGAGCTCAGTTTATAGGGAAAGAAGAAGCGGTGGGAGGAACCGGGGCCGATCTAATCCAACGATCAACAGTAGAGGGCATGACTGTGGGCAAGGGGATCCGTCGTTGAAGTTGCAACAGTGATAACGTCATTGGAAGAAAAAGGGGATGGCGGAAATAGAAAGAAAGAAAGAGAGGGAAAAATAATGAGAGAGAGGGAGAGAGAATGAAAGAGAGGAAATTGATATGAAAGAGGAGAGAGAGAGAGAGGGGGGATATTGGAGATCTGAAGCCGCTACTCTGCCTCTATTCAGTGTCGCTACCGAGAAGAAGAAGAAGGAGAGTTCGTTTTTCATTGGAATAACATTGTCAGATGGCCGTTGCCTTATACATCACCATGATCTGATCTTGCTAGGGTTTCGATGAGAGGGGGGAAGGGGATTTTCGTTCATTTGAATATGGATTTGTATTTTAGTGCCTGGTCCAACCAATGAAGCGGCCGTTAACAAAGGATAACTCCATTAATTCTCGTTAACTTGTCTGACAAATCATTATTGTGACATGTTCAACGCGTATTATTGGTGGGTTCACGCTGGTGACATGTCCAACCAATGTTAACTTGGTTATATGTGGGTAGATTTCTACTTTTATACTTCTAATGGTATGAAAGTATAAAGTATAAATACAATTTTTGTTTTGGTATTTTTATTTTGAAAATAATGCTTTCCAAAATAAAAATATCATTTTTTATTTGGCAAAATTATTATATTAGTCATATGATTCATCTAATCTTATACGTGACAAAAGCAAGATTATTCATGATTAGCCATTTGTATATATCGAATATATACACACATGCCATGTGTATACGTCATGTATATGTGGCAACCACTTAGAATTAATACTTGGTTTTGGAAATGAAGTGATTTTATACAAGTAAAATGCTATATATAACATTACAGTAAACAAACTATAAAAACATTCTACTAAGCTTCAAGAATAGTTTAAGAAATGAAGAAATCGACAATAGTGATTCTAGTGGCAGTAAACATGCAATAAATATATCATTAAGTTTGAAAATATTGCATGAAATGGAGAAAAACATTAAAATAAAGGGGAAAATATGAAATCAGGATCCATACTTATGATTTCGATGAAGACTGTGCTTCTAGCGGTGATTTTCGATGGCAATAATAGTAAAAGATGGGCGACAACAAAGCAAGAACCCACAATGGCAAAGTGGTTAAGGCTTGAAGACAACAAGTGAATGGAGCAGTCTTGATTGAGGGGTTTTACTTAAAGGATGATTACACGTAAAATAGAAGCAAAACTTTCTTCAAGCTTTTGAGAAATTTCATACTTTTAAAAAATATAAAAGCCAAAGTAGGAAGGTATTTTTTGGACTTTCATACTTTATCCAAACAGCGCATATGATGTACTTTAATCAACGAATTTGATTTGAAATATCGTCCAGAGGCATCACCTATTCACCTAGCTCACCGGGCCGGTCGGGCAGTGGGTTGAATAATTAAGATCGGCTTTGTCATTTTATGTTGGGATTGATTAACGTGAATGTTTGATATCTCGATAAATTCACGAGAATAATTTCCCGAAATTTTCGGTGAAAGTGACTTGAACTCACGGCGCATCCCAGAAAAGCACCAACTCACCAAGGGAAGGGTTGGCGCAGTTTGGCACTAAAAGTAAGGGCGGGGTGGGGTGGAATGCGCTGTCAAACAGGCGACGGCTCAACGGCCATGTGGGAAGTGGGCCCCAACGAGGAGATGCGTGTGTTTTTTGCTCATTTTGCTGTTGGTGGAAAGTGGAAAACCGCCTTCCCTTTGGTCTATCATCATCTTTTCTCTTCAATAACGCTGCAAACGGTATGTCGGTATCCCATCCGTTTGTCTGAATTATATCGGTTTATAATTAATGTTGTTTTTTACTTAAATTATTATAAGTTCAAGTTTTATTAATGTCATTTTTTTTATGAAATACAGTATCAAAGTCATCTTGTATTCATTTTATTAATAATATATTTATGATATTTTGATTTTTTTAATTTAATTTATTAATACTATTCAATATTGGGCTGCAATCCGAATTCAATTATTGTATTTTGGGGTTACATCTAATTTATTCAATTATAATCTAAGTTGTGCAGCGAGAGTGGCCAATTTCTTTTTCTCTAGATAAATTTGTATTTTTTTTGTATCTTATTGCCAATTTTTATTGGTTTACTATTATTTTTTAGGTAAAATTATAAAAAAAATCCTCTTATAACAATGTTACAAACTACCTTTGTGTTTTGACCCTAACAAAGGCCTCCTCTATAGTTTTAAGAAAAAAGAAAAGTGTAAATACTTCTTTTTCCTTGGCTCTTAACAAAGAGATTAAAGTTACCAAAATACCTTGTTAATGCATTGTCATACATAATTTAAAGTTTAAACTTTACTATCCGCTAATTTATTTTGCTAGGCAACTTTCAAAGAAAAATTCTCCTTACCTTTGACAAATGTTAACATTAATGCATTGTCATACATAATTTAAAGTTTAAACTTTACTATCACTAATTTATTTTGCTAGGCACTTTCAAAGAATAATTTTCCTTACCTTTGACAAATGTTAACATTAATGCATTGTCATACATAATTTAAAGTTTCAACTTTACTATCCACTAATTTATTTTGCTAGGCAACTTTCAAAGAATAATTCTCTTTTGACAAATGTTATCATTAATGCATTACATCAGCATTTTTATTTGGAATACTGACTAAAGGAAGGTATTTGCACATTTTTTCAAAACAATAGAGGAGATTTTGTTAAGGTCAAAACATTGGGGAATTTCATATGATTGTTAGAAAAACCAATGAGGTCTTTACAATTTTCCTTATTTTTAAATGAAATTTAAATTGATTTTAAAATAATTAAACTATGATTAACACTAATATTTTTATTAAAATTTGAAATTAGTAAAAATTGAATTTATTTAAGTATATTAAGTTTTATCAAATTTAAATTCCTTCTAAAATTTAACTAACTATACAAATTTTTATTTTTTAGTGGAACTTAAGTTGGTTTTAAATTAATAATTTGTAATTATAAAACTAATAATTGTTATATAATTTTGTATTAGTTTTATATTAATTTTAAATTGACATTCGTTTTTAATTTATTTTATTCCTTTTATTAATTAAAATATTTTTATTATATTAATAAGAATATTTTTATCAATAACAATAATTAATAATTATTTTTATTTTATTTAAGTAACTTAATAAATTATTTTTGTTATGGTTAATTACTTTTTATTATTTTCAAATAGAGTATAAATGGATTATAATTTTAAATGGAAGTAGATTACTTAGTGCAATAATATATCCTTGAATATCTCAAATTCAATATAATTAAATCAAGCTGTGCTCTATGGTTTTTTGAATTGAGTTATGTTGTTCAAGTGCAATAAGTCAAGTTTAATTGAGTTTTGTTGTTCAATTTTAAAATTAGAAAACTCAAAAAAAATAAGGAAAAAAAAAAGATAGGTGCCTTTGAGAAGAAACTAGAAAAGTGATAACTGACTTTCAAAATAAACCATAGAGCAGGAAAGTGCTATCTTCGCACATTGCATTTTAAATACAGTTACTTAAATTATTATAACTGCAATCTGAATTCAATATAAATCAAATTTGGATCTGCCATTATCCCGTTTGATTTGAACCATTTGTAGCCCTACTCTTCAGTTCTTCTTTCTATCAAGGAGAGTAAACATCCCTAGGCCATTTTGATCATTGCCATTTTAGGATGGTTGAAGTTCAGCAACTTCTGGTTGTCTACGTGTAAGTCCTTGTTTGGGAGGGTTGATGTGCAATAGCTTTTGGATTTTCAAGGTGTTTGCATTCAATACAAAATTACAAATGATTTTAAGCTATGTTATGTGAAAAATTGGGAGAATCCAAATAGGTTGTGAGTCATTCATTTTTAGGCCCCATTCATTTTCAAGTAAAACATTTATTTGAGTAAATGCATTTACGTGCTTCCTAGGTAACATTTAATAAGGTAATTGCATTTACCTATATT